CATATTAACCGAAATGTTTGCCTCGCGTTCATCATATCGTTTGCGTGACAACCGATTTAAATACTTCATCGGCGGTCCGCCAATCAATCCATATCTCAAGAACTCATACTCTTTGCTACAAAGTATAGATCACTCGTCAGCTACTATTCATCCCGAAACCGGTCTGTAATACACGACAATCGATGAAAACTCTCATTGACTTAAATATAACGTGATTTCAGGTGAATCGGTGACCATGAGGTCGACCGTCGATGAAGCGACCGACAGATCCATGTATTGGATGGCATGCAGTGGACAACAATCTCTGAAGAGGAAACAGTTAACCGATGACTCAACCAATTTGAGACATTTGTTGTATTGTTTGAAAACGAATCGCAATCTAATACCAGTGCTGTCTGTCCAGTGCAGCGCCTACTATAGAACCGCCGCTAAATTGGAAGAACTCGACTCTAATTCAGCCAATGATTAGTAGAGAATATTCTTGTATTTATTGTAAATTATAATAATTGTTACATTTGATATTACAAAGCGTGTACTTTATTACCATGATAATACTTAACACTCGTTACCGTATGATTGGACTCATTTAGAAAATAAATTCATTCATTCGTTGAAAATGAAAATTTTTATTTGATTTAATTGTCATTTAATAAAAATGCACATCAATTCACTTAATTAGAGGATTAAATCTAAGCATTAATTTGATGATTCGTTAGACATTAAATAAATGGTTATAAAAAACACAAGTCTAGCAAATATGCTCGCAATCGATGAATAAATAAATGGTACAAAATATTTTAGTTGAAAACGTGATGAGAGGATTGAATAATGAATCAAATTATGGAATATGAGATACAATTGTATTGGAAAACCGGTCGACAACTGGCTCTAAGTGTCACTCTTCCACATCTTAATAGTCTTGTCGTTCTCGAGAGCGGCCGATGCGATGATATTCTCCGTGGGATGACATGCAGTGCACAGAACCACATCCGTGTGTCCGCTCAACTTCTGCACTATTTCTTTGGTCTGCAGATTCCAGATGTAAACCAAATTATCCTCAGATCCCGAGACAATCCACTGATTGGTCGACACAACAAATCATTAGATAAGTCAATATATGGCCAACAATTTTAAATACCTTTCCGCCGGTGACCGAAAAGTTGGCAAAAATACAATATTTCTCATTCTTATGACCGGTGTATGTCTTGAGACACTAAATATCGCAAAACATAAGTGATTAGCGATTACTTGAGTGTTGAGGTGGTTGTCAAGTGCGTGCATACCTTTCCTTTGCTGTAATCCCATAACTTCAAAGTGTTGTCCAGAGTTGCGGCCAAAATGTATTTGCCGTTCGGCGAGAACTTGACGAAAGAGACGGGAGGGTTGTCGTCGTCGATCAGTGTCTTCAGGCACTGACCCGAAGCCGTGTCCCAAATGCGACACAAGCCGTCGTACGAACTGCTGGCCACTAGTGTGCCGTCTCTGTTGAAGTGCACCGCAGAGACCGGATCCGAGTGGGCCGGCAGTGTCTTCAGACATTTGCCGGTCTTTACATCCCATATGCGAACCGATTCGTCAAACTATTGGACAATCGATTAGACATTCAAAGAGCAAACCATTGGCAAAGTGTCGAAGACTTACAGATCCGGAAACGATTAGATTTGACTGCGGATTGAAATTACAGCAAAAGACATAATTCGAGTGACCCTTCAGTGTCTTCAGTCCTTTGCCCTGAATATGAAAGACAACACAATTAAGACAATCACACGAATGGGTGGCAAGGGATCTCATGGACAGACTGTAGCGCATTCCCAGATCTTGAGGGTCTTGTCGTCGGAGGCGGAGACGAGGAGCCGGGAGTCGGAGCTCCAGGAGATGTCACTAATGCCGAGCTTATGGCCAGCGATGGTCTTCTCAAACTTGCCGTCATAGGCGCCCCACAGCTTCACGATCTTATCGGCCGAACAGGAGGCCAACCACTCGCCGTTGGGCGAGAACTTGATCGACGACACATGCCGAGCTTATGGCCAGCAATGGTCTTCTCAAACTTGCCGTCATAGGCGCCCCACAGCTTCACGATCTTATCGGCCGAACAGGAGGCCAACCACTCGCCGTTGGGCGAGAACTTGATCGACGACACCGCCTTCGTATGCCCGGCCAGAGTGTATGTCAGCTTATAGTTAGGCCGCACCTTATCTCCCGACCCCTTCGAGTGCGAGGGAGGCGTCGACGAGATGGACGACCGGTGCGATGAGGAGGACTTGTGCGACGAGTCCATTGGCGATGTGCTGGCGATCGGCCGCCGATTCACGAGACAAATGTCGGTCCGATTCACGCCTCAAGTGATGTCTGATTTGATGCCAAACTAACGTGACTTTTGTTTGTCTATTGTTTTTGTTTGCATTCAATGTATTTGACGCACGAGTACTGGACCGACGTTTGGGCCCTTATTATACTGTCAACAACGTATGTGTGACTCGTAGGTATAGCGTGTAAAATAGACTCATGTGTTCGTCATTTACAGATAGATTGCAATCAATAAAACTGGTTTTACTCTCATTTTCCACTGAATATTAATGTATTTTTGGGTCAAAAATGATTAATTAATTAATAAAACAATTAATTTAACGATAAAACCTGCGATGTATTAATCAAGATCATTGACAAAACACCCATTTATTAATACAACACTCAAACCCGAGTCAATAACCATGTATTAGTCTAATTTCAAGAGTCATAAACATTTAATGTAACTAGCTAGAATCGTAATTTGATGTAGCATGCAAAAATTGATTGAAAGTCATTATTTAATAGTATTTTATTTCTAAACAGTTTCTTCAGCCACACATCAATTGGTGACAGAATCTCATCCATGGATACGACAAATCAGTTTTAAGGTAAATATGAGACAATGTGTTGAATATATGGACCAATTGATGGCCAATGGTTTGATTGATGGCTTCAAAGTTGGTGTTAATTGTAGTGATTGTCAACACAATTATGGATGCATTTGTTGATTGCATTCAAACACATGTTAACCAATTGCTTGTCAATCAAATGTGTTTGCAATACATTATGCTATCAATTGTATGATCATATCAGCTATGATTTTTAGATTCAATTCGTAGCTAGGTTATTTACTAATGAATTTCACAATTTATTTAATACGTAGCGTAGCGTTTAAATATTAGTAAAGGGCATTAATTTTATAGCTAATTAATTCACTCTATGTAGTTTTATAAAATTTAATGCATTACGAATTAAGTAAGAATATGAATTTGTTATCTACTAAAATAAGTTAGCATGCTTATTTCTGGAATATTCTTATATTATTGAATAAACTACACAACTTGTATAATCACAATTTGTATAATGACCTTTGTTAGACTAAACATGCAAATACATTCATTATCAGTTAATGATTAATATCCTATATACTGTAGTTATATTAGACTATGTTAAATATTCAATGAATTAGTTTGTTCCCTCGATAATTTGATAACTATAAGTGCATTGATTGCGTGTTTAGTTTATTCTTTGATAAAAATTAAACTAAAACATAACTAATAATTAGTTAAATTCAGTAACAATTGGCAACTTGTTTAAAAACTATTAAATTATTTTCTATTTAGAAAAATATTAAAATACAAATCCACAATAACTGAATGCAATATATTTAAATTTACAAAATGCTTGAATAATTTCAAGGTACAGTAGCTACAATGTTGATAAAACTTATGATAATTCTGTACTCTATTGGCATTTGTGAAAATACTTTTTAGCGTCATTTTGTTGTAATTTAACTCAATTGTGGTGAAAATATATTTCAATCTACTAATCATTAAATATTAATGAAAAGGGGTTTACAATAGCTTACAAGTAAATCACAATTTGTATAATGACCTTTGTTAGACTAAACATGCAAATACATTCATTATCAGTTAATGATTAATATCCTATATACTGTAGTTATATTAGACTATGTTAAATATTCAATGAATTAGTTTGTATCCCTCGATAATTTTATAACTATAAGTGCATTGATTGCGTGTTTAGTTTATTCTTTGATAAAAATTAAACTAAAAAATAACTAATAATTAGTTAAATTCAGTAACAATTGGCAACTTGCTTAAAAACTATTAAATGATTTTCTATTTAGAAAAATATTAAAATACAAATCCACAATAACTGAATGCAATATATTTAAATTGACAAAATGCTTGAATAATTTCAAGGTACAGTAGCTACAATGTTGATAAAACTTATGATAATTCTGTACTGTATTGGCATTTGTGAAAATACTTTTTAGCGTCATTTTGTTGTAATTTAACTCAATTGTGGTGAAAATATATTTCAATCTACTAATCATTAAATATTAATGAAAAGGGGTTTACAATAGCTTACAAGTGGCTAAAGTTGAGTACAAGTAGAGTACTGTTAGCTATAAAATAGTTATTGACAATTGAAGTGAATTGAATTGATTTTTGGCACACAATGTGATAAATCCACAGCTAATTGGTTTGGTTACATGTTTTACTGAACGTGTAATAAGTATTTTAATACCAAATCATATGAATTGATATCAGAAAGGCTATGCATATAACTTACTGTAGTTAAGTTCCTATTTTATCACTGATAATTTATCAATTGCAATTGTAATTACACCTATTATACGGTAAGTTGTTTTGTGATAATGCTTATGTGAACCTAAATAACCCTAAAGTCCGTTTCGGTTGTATTTTGCACTAAACTATATAACCAAAAAATTACCAAATGTACCAGAATGTTTTGTTCACTCCCATTATATACCTTATTTACCGTAATATCATTCAAATATTAAATAAATTATTTGAGTTTTTCACGTATAAGTCCACTGTATCAATAAATATATAATTGTTGAGAATTAAAACTTTTTTACATCAAAACTCTGATTATAAATAAAGCTATAAAGTTTTAGTAACAACAAGTTAATTATTATTACAGTATTGATTATATGAATTAATTTCACATAACTCCGTTCATATAATCGATGATTGGTTCAAATGTACGTTTTGTAGACTTCTTAAAGTTTTAGTAAATATTGTTTTGCAAATTCATTGCTAAGTGACTCTTATTTTGTTTTTCATGTAATTCTTAGTCACTTTGACATATAATATGAGATAAATAGGATATTTTGTTATTTTTAGAAATTTATTTTTTTTAATTATAAACTGATGATAGGAAATATTGAAAACTATTCCGACAATAAAACAAATGAATATATTCTCTATTTGGGTTATTTGTCATTAATTGAATTAATTGAATATTTTCACTACAGTACTAAATATTTTATGCATTGATTGTATTTAACTAAACGGGAGTTTAATTTATAGGAAAATGCATTCAATTTGTTTGTTTAAACTCTGTTTATCAGTTCATTCAAAGTCCGATTAGAAAGACGAATGACAGGAGAGAGAGATCTCAACACTAGTTATCAATTAATTTTACTATTAGTTTCAGATGTGATCTTATGTTTAGTTGTGTTGGAATGTCTGTCCAATAATAGTCGTGTCGACTCTACTGCTGATTGACTCTTGACTTTTAATATTATAAATTTATCTCATAATTTACTATTGCATTCGTTTCGCAAAACAAACTTTAATTAGAGTTGAACATCAAGATGATTGGTATGACAATGGACCCGACTATGGTTATGCCAACAATGGACCCGACTATGGATATGCCAACAATGGACCCGACTATGGTTATGCCAACCAGTGGTGGTGGCGGTATGGATATGGATATGGGTATGAAGATGTACTTCCACACCGGATATGAGAAAATGGTTTTGTTTGAGAAATGGGTCGCTACTACTGATGGAGGTATGCTATAGAATCTATGGATGCAATACACCCACCAATCTATTTAGAAATGAATCAAAGTTTGATTTTGAAAGATTTTTCAAATTTATTTATGTTTAAGTAATCTCTCAGGATTCAGGAATTTTTAAATACAATTTATTTTATGCACAAATTCTTATGAATTTTCATTTATATTCAATGCGTTTAATCGAAAGCAATGTTTGGCGTCTGTGTCTTCTTCTTCGTGCTGGCCGTAGTGTATGAGTCCTTAAAGTACTACCGACAGGTCCACTCATCCAAAGCTCTATCCCTACTCGGAGGTCATGTTCACGAAGAGAACGGAACGGCAGCTTCCAGTACGACTACTCAAGACTCGGGCCCATCAGCAGCTGACAAGTATGAGAGTCCCCTCACAACAACCCGGGACAGGATTGTGAGGCCCGCTATTAAACGGCTATCAGTCGCACATCTGTGGCAAACATTTCTACATATACTCCAAGTGTTCATATCATATCTGCTTATGTTAGCGGTTATGACATTCAATGTGTGGATATGTCTGTCCATTATATTAGGCGCAGGAGTTGGCTATTTTCTGGTCGGATCACAAAAACCCAACACATATTCAGCCTTTGAAGATCACTGTCACTGAATAATTGACAGTCAATGGACACGTCTTACAAACTATTTATATTTATACGGTTTTTCATCGCATATCAAATCTATTTGAAAGTGATTTTTATAGACTTTATTTAAATGCTATAAATATATTTGCGAATTATTTCAAATTAAACTACAAATCTATTTGATATTTAATTTATGAAGTGAATAATGAGTTATATTCATAGCTCTCTAATGAATGAGAAGTTTATTTTAATTATATAATGTGTGATTTGATTTTATAGATTAGGTGTATTTTAATTGTTTTACCTGTTTTTGTTGAAAAAATATGTACGCTATATATCTGATAACTCATCAGAATTTCATTATGTAATTAAAAGCGATATTTTATTATAAATT